CAGCAGCTAGTTTGAGATGGGGTCAAGAAATAAGAGACAAAGTGAAAGGGAGAGAAAGACAAATGTTAAGATGAGTGTATTTATATGTTGAGTATATTTAAATGTCAACTGGATGGAGCTAGAGGAAAGGTAGGTAGATGCTCAAGATAAAGAATAATTAACCGTGCAAAGAAGTAGCATGGAGGGGACTTAAAGTCCTTAGAAGGGACTTGGTCTTGTAAACAAGGGGCATTTTTCTCAATGTGACAGTTTGCTATGCCAACGGTCTGTGGATATGGAGCAGGAAGCTGTTCCTTGGTGGGAGGGAGGCTGTAAAAAGTCAGCCAGAGTTGAGAAGAGGAAGACTGGAAAACAACTTGCAGCACGACACAGCAGGACTGCAGAGGAATGCTGAAAACATGGTTAAGACTGATAATGGTGATCATACAATGGTACCATACTGACCAGTTGTGATTTTCTCCAGCAGTACCTAGCAGCCTGAGAGTAAGGACAAATACAGGAGAAGAGATGAATTCATAAATAGAGGCCAAAAGACTAAAACCTCCTAATCACTGCCTCCAAACATACAAACTAATCTGCTACACCTGCTTTCTTCCTTCATCCACCCTATTACCTGGATAGCTGGATGTGTCCAGGTTTTGAATTTTGCTAAAGAGTAAGGGCCAAGACCCATCTTGTAAGGGAACTTAGGGTGAGGGCAAGAAAAGTGAAAATGATAGCCCATGAAATCCATATTCTTAGAAAGTGATTTAAGGCCAGGAAGGTGATAGAAAAGGCCATTAAAGAACAGACACGATGGAGTAAGCTGGGAATGCAGGGGGCTGAGATGCGTGGAGTTTTGATTTTGGAAACTGACATGATAAAGTGATACAAAGTCTAGAGTATACCCACAGGAATAGGTACCTGCAGTATAGTCAGAAATCTCACTAGGATCATCTGCCTTCTCAATTCTTTTATTTTTACGATATATTCTCTTCCTTCCACAAACACTGACTGGTCCTGCTGTAGGGCCTAAGGGATACAGGAGTGCACAAAGCAGAAGTCCCTTCTCTCACAGAGCTTATACTCCAGTAGTGGTTTGAAGGTGGCCCAATCCTAATTTTGTATTTCCTTCATTTCATTAAAATAAATCTTTATGTTTTCATAGCTCAGTTTCAATGATACTTTGAATGTATTTTGTCACCTGATCCACATAACAGTGAGAAGTTGACACTTTCTATATTGAAATGAAAAGTTTGAGGCCAAGATAAATTAAGTCAAAAAACACAAATGTTTGCTGGCTTCCTATGTGCCAGACACATACTTTGTTAGGCTGAGAATATAGTGATGAACAATACAGGCCATTGCCAGTTGTTCATGGGTGAGTGGAGGACACAAATAATTACGAGGGTGTGGTAAATTTATGAAAAGGTTTTACGAGAGTACAGAAGCTCAGCTTAGGAGGTTAGGGAGGGCCTCCTTGAGGAATGATACTTAAATTCAACAAAGAATGAGTAAAATGATAGGAGGAAAGATGGTTTCCAGGCAGAAAGAACACCAAGTATGAAAGCCAGAGGAGAGAAATATGGTAATGTGAAATGACCCACGTGGTCCAGATAGATGAAAGATGGAGGGGAAGAGTGGCAGAGAATAAAGGAAGAAAGAAGGGCAGGTGCCAGTCACAGGAAGCCTTCCTTATAAGCCATGTTAAGCAGTTTGGAATTTATCCCAAAAACAATGGGAAGCTGCTGCAGGGAAATTATTTTTGTTTTCTAAAATATCACCTGGGGCTTCAGTGTAAAGAATGAATTATAAGTTTGCTAGAACAGATACAGGGAATCAGTTAGGAGGCTGCTACTATAATGTAATGATAGTAATAGTTAATAATTGTTAAGTATTTTGCTATATATTACACACTAGCTAAATATTTACATGAATTGTCTCCTTTAATGCTCCCAACAGTCCTTTAAGGTAAATACGTAATTATTATCCTCATTTTTCAGAGGTGGAAATCAACGTACATAGAATATAAGTAGCTTGTCCAAGTTCATACAGCTATTAAGTGGTAGTCTGATTCCAGAATACTCTATTTGGCCTTTCCCAATAGTCTAGAGGAGATGGCTGTCACTCAGACAAGCATAAAGGCAATGCGAAAGGAAAGATGTGGCCAAGGCACAACTGTATAATGTGGTGGCTCACTGAAAATCTGGTGATAAAAAGAAAGGGAAAGAAAGTAGTTTAGAATGACACCTGTATCTGAACAAATGGAGAACAGAGATACTATTTACTGATGAGAATTCTGATGAAGTAGCAGGTCTGAAAGTAGAAGATACTGAAATCAGTTTCAGAGATATTCGATTTTTTTTACTAAAAAGCATCCTGATTAGAGATGTCCAGCCAAAAAGAAAAAGGGTATATTATTTTAGAGGTCAGAAGATAAGGCTAGACTAGAAATACAGATTTAAGAGACCTATATGTTTAAGAAACATAACTAGGTTACTGAAGTGATGAAAGTGGATGAGGCTACTGGGGAAAGTATAGCGTCATAAAACAGAATCCTGAGGAAATGAACATTTAGGGACCACAGAAGAGTGACATGGAGTGGCTAGAGGTAAGAGGGTGACATATGGTAAGCTGTCAGCACAGCACCTAGTTTCAGTCCTCTCTCACTGGTGGGCCAAACATGGTGAGAGGACTGTACTGACAGTGCTTTATGCTTCTCCACTGGCTAATGCCCATTGGCCTTTTCCAACCTAAAAAATAAACCTTTCCAAAATCCTCTTTGACTCTTAAACCAATACCTCACTTTCCTCTTCCCTTTACCTCTGAACTTCAATTACCTGTCCCCCTTCCCTAATCAACTGAAATTGCTAAGTAATCAGACACTTGTTCATTGGCAAATGTACTTCCTTCCTTTTAGGACTCAACTTGACTTTTCTGCACCACTCACTGATAACTTTTCTTTAAACTTTCCTTCTTTGAATTCTTCAACTTTCACCCCACTATCATCCTACCTTTTTAAAAGCTTCTTTCCAGTCTCCTTCTCTAGCTCTGTCTGCTATTTGCCCTGATGTATGTTTTACCCAAACTTATACATTCAGCCCTCTTTCCAGTCTACACAAACACTGTCCAATATAGCAGCCATTTGCCAAATGTAGTTAAACTTTTAATAAAACTAAATCAAAACTCAGCTCTTCAGTTTGCACTTAGCCACATTTCAGGCACTCAGAAGCTCTACAACTTAAAAAAGGCTAGTGGCTATTCGATCAGACGGCAAGATACAGAATGTTCCTATGATTGCAGAAAGTTCTACTGGACAATCAAGATTGTCCCAATCAATTAAACAATATTTACTGAGAACCGATTGTGCAACAGGCACTGTTTTGCACCCTGGCACTGAACAAAACCATGTCCCACTCTTCATGGAGCTAACATTCTAGTAGGAGGAGACAGACAATAGTTTGTCAGATGAACAATCTCATTTATTCCCCAAACATCATGTGCTGAAGACTCCTAATGCCTTTCCTGGGCTCCAAACTTGAAACTTCAGCTTCTGCTAGATTTCACCACTTAAATGTCTATGAACTACTCTAAACTGTGTCCTAAACTGAGCTCAGTACCCTGCTTTCCCTCTCAAACTCACTTCCTTTTTCTGTATTCTTGATTTCTGAGTAACCCTGGACCTTCCCTCCCATCCTACCACATTCAGTTACCAAGCCTTGTTGAATTCATCTGTTTTAAACCTATCTCCTTATCTCTACTACCAATGCCCTAATTATATCTCTTGGCCAAAAACCTCTAAAACTAGCTTCTCTACTGCAAATCTTTTCACATTTGCTTCCCTTGTGCCCTAGTTCATCCTGGTCCATCTACCGTTATAATTATACTTCCAAAACACAAACGTAATCCCTACTCAAAAATGAGTAACAGAAATGAGTAAACACCTAGAGAATAAAACATAAATCCTTAGCACAAATTCAAAGCATTACACAATTTGGCTACAACCTATTTTATCCTCCCAACCTACACTCTTGCTCCGCTGTACTATCCACCCCACCAAATTACCAGGTGCTTACAAGCAGCAATCTCTCCCCGAAATTATTTTGTTTTTCTCCATTTAAACACACAAATACAAACAAAAACATCCTCTTCACCTGTCTCTGAAGTCTTTGCCATCCCTTAATCTTAATTGCTTACTCTTCAGAGCTGCTATAAGCAGCACTTAAACACAACTACTGGAGATCATCTTCTCAGCGTCTAGTACAGTGCCTGGGGCATAACGTTAGAGGCTCAAATGCCTCTCTAGACATCATGTTTGTGTGATACAGAGGGACAAAAATTTCGATCATATTCTTAGAAACCTTTTCTTTCCTCGTAGGGCTCAAAACTTGGTATGCTGTGGGTATTCAATAAATACTCAGCGGGGTGTGAGGCCTGCTCGGTGTTTTCTTATAGTAGGAGCGAGCACATAGACACATAGACGTTGCCCGAATGGAGGCTTTGCCTGGCAACTAGATATTCTGGGTCCTTTCCCCTCGAGCAGCTTGGTGCCTTCTTCCAAAGGACGACTGGCAGAACATGGAGTGACCCTAGCGACCACTGGACGGAAAACAGTTTACGAAAAAGGTAACAAGAGTTGGAGGGCGGGGGAGGCGGTTAAGAGTGGAATGAGATGGGAAGAAATATTCCAAATGTAGAGAGAATGGAGACTGACACACCCCACCTCTGCCCTGTGAGAGACCGACTTACCTAGAGCACCTCTCCACCGCCTCCCTTGCTCCTCCGCTTCTTCTCTCCTGGGTAGTGAGCACACTTGTAGCGCTTGAGTTACCTCTTCCGGGCTTCCTTGACAACAATTTCCGGACCAAGAACCACTGAGAAACCAGTCATCTTTCTTCTTGCCCCGCCCACAGGTCCGGAATCGGGACTCGATCCGAAATCCCGCGATGCTCAGCCCGGGTCGCTAAAAGGAGGAAGAATGTTTCTCTTTTGGAGGCGGTCTCCCGGGGGTAAGCGAACCGGAAGTGACGCTAGTGAGTTCCGGTTGGCCGGAGCTCCGCGGCGGGTGTGTGAGACGGTCAGGAGCCGCTTCAAGGATCCTGAGATCCGGAGAAGCCGGGGTCAGAGCGGGTAGGTAAGTAAGCGCGGGGAATTGGGGACGGAAACCAGAGACCATCCTCAGAGCTTGGCTCCTTCTGGACCTCTCCTGCTTAGACCGTGCAAATCTGGGGCGCTGTGATTTCGACTTGAAGCAGTGTTTTAGGGCTCTGTTGACTCTGAATGTCTCACTCTGGCGACAGTCATTATTATTTGGGACACCTTCCCATAGTTGGCCACCGGTTAATTGAACCCATACTCTGGACTCCCAACCATTTGCTCTCATCGGCAGACTTGGAAGCCCTCCTAAGCTTTTAGGAGTATCCCTCTCCCTTCACTTCCTCCCCGGATGCCGAGGACCTTAGAGTAATGCAGGTCTTCTCTGCTGATGACCAAGCTGTTTCTTAGGATCTGTCAGTTTGGGTTCTTGCCCTCCCCAACGACTTGCGCGTGATGCTAATGAATCCGCTTCTAAACAATATAGGCGTGCAAGTGCCAGCTAAAGCGTTGGTGGCCAACACTCCGAATGGAGCCTTTGGTGCGTAGATGACTTGTAGAGGACCTTCACTATCTCCCACTATTTCCGCGAAAAACAAGGTTCTCTGCCTTTTCTAAACCCCTGATCCTTCCCCCTGTATTACGTTACAGCGAAGGTACTTAAAGTGAAACATGAAGGTCGGTTTAACTCTAAAATTCCAAGAAGCTGTATGTGGCTCTCTGGCACACTGCTAGGATTACTTATTACCTCCAGTAGGTTTTACTATTACCTTTGGTTGTCCTGCAAATCTGTGCAAAAATTTCATAATATGTAGACTCTGGAACGATTTACCTATCTTGGAACAAAGCTCCTTTCCTAACTTTAACTTTCAGTTCTCCTTTGGAGCTTGTCAGAAACTTTGTAGACACGTTGCACTGAACCCTTTGGAAAAACTTGTACAAGTACTTCCAGTATGGTAATGATGGAGAATTTAATATTCTAACTACTACCTCTTAATTGTATTTTATCATCAGCTCTGATTTAGTGTGTGTTCTTAGCATGAATGGTGATAGTAAGAAACTACTATGTACAAGGCAACATTTTATGCGTTCTAGATTATGTTTGAAAAGAGAGATGGTGGTACCCAGATAAATGTAGCCCATCTGTGTAAGTGTGAAATGACTTTATAGGAGAAATCTTTTCTATTTTACTGCTTTGCTTTTATTACTTTAAAATAACAGTTTTTTCCCCATTTCCTTCTTGATTAATAGAGTTTAATTCCTGTGGCCGACGTTCCAGAATAACCAAGTTTGTCAGTCTGTTAGCAGTTTACTTTTAGCTGCTGTAATCCGATTGTTGTTTAGTTTATATACTGTTCTTACTTTCGAGTTAGAAAAATTTTCATACTTGTTTGATACAAGGTGACAAGGTTTTTGAGATATGAAATTAAACAAATTAGGTGCTATCATTAGTTTTTACATCTGGTAAATTTGCTTATTGACTTTAAACTACCGAACCTGATCTTACATTCTTTTTGTTCAGTTCAGTTATCCAGGGACTAATTATCCAAATTTTCTCAATTTTCCAACTTCTTCTGGCCTCTGGCTTCAATTTCCACTCTAGGATTTTGAAGATTTAAATCAGATGACCTGGATTGAAGTCTGGGCTCCACTACTTCTTGAGTGAAGATTGGTAGATTACCCAATTCTCTGATCTAGTCTGGGTTGTGTTAGGAAAAGTACTGCTCTACTTCATAGGAGGGCCACAGTAATTGATATAGTGAATGTGAAATCACTGTAGAAATCAAGTTGGTGATTTGTCATTTTACTCCGACAACTGGAAATGTATCAGTGCAGAACACTGTTACTTTGCATCATTTTAAAATGTGATGTTTTATATGGTGTTATTTATCTGAAAGTATTATCACACACTTCTCTGAAATGATCTTTGTCCTACTTTTGAACTCAATAAAAGTTAGCCACGAATAGTTTGAAACTGTGATCCACTGAATTAGTCACCTTGATTAATAAGTAGGTGACTGGAGAATGAGCATAGTTCTGCATTTGGGAGTTTAAATATGAACTTTCTTGTTCATCATGTATTGTCACTTAAGAATTTCCAAGTGCAGAAGAAGCTGAAATTTTTGGTGCTCACATAGTTAACTAAAGGTTAGAAGTAGTCTTACTTAAGTATGAAACTATCATTTCAGTGAAACCTACTGAATGCAGTATTTAAAAGCATAAGCAACCTCTGTGAACATGTTCTTTGTTAGATTCTTCTCATTTAACAGGGAAGATTGGGGTCCAAGAACAATTAGTAATTGGCTTGCTCCAGGTCATATGGCTTAGGTTGTGGCAGAATCTAAACTGGAAATGAGGTCCCAAGTGTTCTTTCTGTTCTGCTAAGGTTGTCTCCATGCATCTTTATCTGGTAGTATTTCCTGATAAAGTATTTGGTAGTATTTCCTGATTTACATGAAAACCAGGTCTTATTTTATTAAGGGGATCTATATGTGTGTGTACATTTTTTTTCCCATTTTAGCTGATTCAGTCTTGAAAATTCTAGGAAAACTAAAACACTGTGCTTGGCAAGATTTGCATTGGAATGAAATAAGGGAGGAAAAAAGACTTAGTTCTGTTCTTCAGAACAGTTATTCTGAGTTCATTCTTCATTGCTATCAGGTATCAAGGTATCTTCTTTCTAGCAAGTGGAACACAGGATCTTTGTAACACATGTCTTTATTGAGTGAATGTTGCTAATGAGTAGGAGGAAGCTTTATTTCTTTGCTTCTGCTAACAAAATTTCCCCAAACTGATGGCAATTTTAATATTCTATTATGATATCTATTAGTCTATAGAGTCATTTCTCTAATTATTTCATTTTGGGTAAAAGCCACTGCACAATAGTTCATTCTTTCTCTTGTTGGAAATTCTCTTGCAGCCATTGATTTCACAAAACCTATTTAGTCTCCCCTTTCTTGGAGATTATAGTACCAGGTACTTATTATCACAGCTGTTTTGCCCAAGTGCTTTTTGTTGGTGTTTCTTCTGTATGGAAGTAAACTCTAGATTAGAGAATCCTGACTAACCTCAGAAGTAAACTGAATGAATAGAATAATAACTTGTTTGTTTATGTGTTAGTTGAGAATCTGCTTTCACAAAGACTTACAAATATATATTAAAAAAAATTTTTTTGGTATCATTAATCTACAATTACATGAGGAACATAGTAAGATGCCATAGAATCACTACTTGTCTTCTCTGTGTTTAACAACCCTCCCCATGCCCTCCCACCCCCTACATTATGTGTATTAATTGTAATGCCCCTTTTTCCCCCTTGTCCCTCCCTTCCCACCCATCTTTCCCAGTCCCTTTCCCTTTGGTAACTGTTAGTCCATTCTTGGGTTCTGTGATTCTGCTGCTATTTTGTTCCTTCAGTTTTTTTTCTTTGTTCTTATACTCCACAGATGAGTGAAATCATTTGATACTTGTCCTTTTCCACCTGGCTTATTTCACTGAGCACAATAGCCTCTAACTCCATCCATGTTGTTGCAAATGGTAGGATTTGTTTTCTTCTTATGGCTGAATAGTATTCCATTATGTGTATGTACCACATCTTCTTTATCCATTCATCTACTGATGGACACTTAGGTTGTTTCCATTTCTTGGCTATTGTAAATAGTGCTGCAATAAACATAGGGGTACATATGTCTTCTTCAAATTGGGATGCTGCATTCTTAGGGTAAATTCCTAGGAGTGGAATTCCTGGGTCAAATGGTATTTCTATTTTTAGTTTTTTTGAGGAACCTCCATATTGCTTTCCACAACGGTTAAACTAATTTACATTCCCACCAGCAGTGTAGGAGGGTTCCCCTTTCTCCACAACCTCGCCAACATTTGTTGTTGTCTTTTGGATGGTGGCAATCCTTATTGGTGTGAGGTGATATCTCATTGTGGTTTTAGTTTGCATTTGTCTGATGACTAGCAATGTGGAGCATCTTTTCATGTGAAAGACTTGCAGATATTTTGGGGGTAAATTTTTAAAGAGCATATTGCTTGAAGAAACTATTTTGTTTGGTAAAGCAACTTTGTATAGAGTGTGCTAAACTAATGTGTATTATGTAAACCTTAGGTAAAGCTCATTTAGAAAACGAGATACTTTTCTGTGTCAGATACAAGATGATTCTTAAAACTGAAGGCATTTTTTAATTAAGCAAGGACAACTGATTGAGTAATTCTATCCTTCCTGGTCTAAATATAATTGCTAAAGAGTTTGTTAGTATTTTGGAAATCCAAAACTACTTTTCAGTAGTTCATTGTGATGTTTTCTCTTGTTCTTGTAGTTCTTTATTAATAATAACGTTGGTCTTTGGATTTTTCTGGAAGGAGTAGGTGGCTAGTGTTAGGAGCCAGGGCTAAGAAACTAGATTGCCTTGTTCAAATTCCAGCTCTACTACTGTGCAATCCTTGGGCCAGTTACTTAACCTCTTTCTATCTCAGTTTCCTCCTAGACAATGAAGTCAGTATGTTTATTGTTAAGGCTAAAATAATAGATTTAAGTAAAGCATTTAGAACAATGCCTGGCATAGTTAACCATGACTGTTGTCATCATTAGCATCACATGGCCTACTGAGCAGCTGGCTAAGAACTCTCCCAACTGTCTTTTGAAAGCCTGTTTTTATGTTGCTTCTTAACTGATCATTGTTTGCTCATTATTAATGAAAGTTCAGTAAATAAATATGTATATGTATTTCATTTCATGAATATTTTACAACATTTGTGAGATTCTTAACCAATTGTAGGTCATTCTCTCAACCTTTTTAGTATTGTTAACTGTTTATGTTATCTGTGTAAGCTGTAACACAGATATTGAGAAATGAAATTTGGGAATTTAATGTTAATGATATCTTCTGGCACTTTCTTTGCATGGGAGGATCACTTTGCAATGATACAGTCATTCATCCAGTGAACAAACATCTTGTGTCCTAGGCCTTTTACCAGATATTGGGGAAAACTGTGGGAAACAAAGACAAATGTATTTTAGTTTGGGAACCTGATAGAGAAAAAAATAAATACATAAATGAAAAAATAAACACAGTACAATAAATGTTATGAAGGAAACAAGAGTCTGAGAGAGAGTTAATATGGATATGTGCCTGTTTAAGATTCTAATACAGTATACCTGGAATATAGCGACATGAGATGAGGTAGAAAACAACTTATGGTCCAGGTTCTGTAGAGTTTAGCAGACCATGAAAATGATGTTGGATTTGATTTTGAGTTCAATAAGAAGTTGTTCAACAGTTTGAAGTAGGGTAGTAATGTGGTTTATAAGTTCACTTTTATAAAAACAAAGCAAACTGAAGGAACAAAATAGTAGCTGACTCACAGACTCTGAGAAGGGGCTAGGGGTTGGGGAGAATGGGTAAGGAGGGAGGGAGGGAGAAGGGGATTAAGGGGCACTGTAATTCATAATCAAAATACAGGTAGGTAATGGCGAAAACAGTACAGCATGGAAAAGACAAGTAGTGACTCTTTAGCATTTTACTGTGCTGATAGACAGTGACTGCAATGCAGGGGTGAGAACTTGATGATATGGGTGCATATTGAAACCACAGTATTGTTCATGTGAAACCTTCATAAGATTGTATACCAATGATACTTGAATTTAAAAAAAAAGTTCACTCTTGCTCATATGTGAAGGATGACTTGAAGGAGACAAGAATAGAAATGGAGAGAGAAGTTAGGAGTCCATTGCTGTAGTCAAGTGAGAGGTGACGTGGACCAGAGTGGTGGCAGAACAGAGGGCAGTGGGTGGATACTAAATATACTTGGAAGAGGACTGGTTCCTGAATTGGATATGAGGAATAAGGAAATGAGGAGACTCAAGGATGACTGTGCTTCTGGATTTAGTAACTGGGTAGATTGCTGTGCCAAGTACTGAGAGAGGGAAGGTTTGGGGAGGCTCAGGTTTATTACAAGGTAGGGATGGGGAAAAAAAGGACATGTTAAATTTGAGGTGCTTAGGAATCACCCAAGTGGTGCTATTAGGTATATAATATATAAATATCTAGGTCAGGACCAGAATTCAAATTCAGACTAGTATTTTAAACCGGAACCTAGAAGTCACTTGGGGAGGCAAGGAAGAAGAGAGGTCCCAGGACAGGTATAAGAGAGCAAAGTTGACTTAAGGAGTATTTGAAGAAACAATGATCAGATACACAAAACTTTTAAGTAAACGTGGACACATCTAGCAGGAAGATTAATAGATGAGGGGTAGAAAAGAGCAAGATTTTTCACTTTTATATATATATCTATATATAGGTATATATAGATATATATATATATATGTATGTATTTTAAAGCATGTGAAAGTTTTTACTTGAATAGGAAAATTCTGAATTCTGAATAGAATTCTGTTAAGACCTAGCCATCTCTGTCAGATGCTGCCCTGTGATCTAGATAAGGACACAATAAAGTCAGTAAAGTTGAATAGATTGATCTGATTAGCCACTTCCCTCATTGTTGAGTCTGGATCCTTCCTGAGACTTTAAGGTCTCCACATTCTGAAAAGCATTTAATCAAGAGAATGTACAAGGTTCTTCTTTTATAAGTTTTTAAGATCTATTTATAGAAGATTTAGTACTGCTTCTATGGGACAGAAGAATTTTCTTTGATTTTTATTCCTATTAGATATATCTCTAGGAGCTCTGTATCTGCAAAACTCTTATTTTCAGAAATTAAAACATGTGAATTTATCAGTAGCCTTAATAACTATTGGCTTGTGAAACAAGCCGGGTAGACTCCCACCTCAAAGTCTTTGCACGTCTTTTTCTCTTCCCCTGCAGGGTTCTTCTGCATTTTTTTTTTTAATATGGAATGCTTCATGAATTTGCATATCATCCTTTTGCAGGGGCCATGCTAATCTCTGTATCATTCCAGTTTTAGTATATGTGCTGCTGAAGTGAGTACCTCTTCTGGGTATTTTTTCATGGCCTTTTCTAATGTCAAATTCTCAGAGAAAGCTTCTCTATCTACCCCGTTAAAAAGTGCAGACAATGATATTGGAGGAATAGAAATCATTTATTTTAGTAGAAGTAAGGGGCACACAGCTGTAGGGTATTTGTGAGCATAACTCAGGGCATCAAATCCAGGAATTTCCTAGTAAAAGTACTTGATTCTTCTAGTGTCTCATTGCCTTCTGAATCTTCCACAGGCAATGCTGGTAACTGTTCCTGTGCTGGCCTAATCTGTATCAACTTTTCAAACTTAACCTCAGCTTTCTCCAGATGTTACACATTTTTCTGGTGAACTTTAAATACTAACAAAAAAGTTGCACATAAACACATACATATGCACACAAACCAAATTTCTTTATTTTTCACTGTAGCCCTTATCATTATCTGATAGATGTTTTCATTTTTGTCTGTTCACTCTTATGCCACTAGCATCTCAAAATATGCCTGGAACATAGTATGTACTTAGTAAATATTTGTTAGATGAGTACATGAAAAAGTCATTTTCACTGCTGTATGATACCTCACTGGGTAACTATACCCTGTTTACTTGCTCTCCTACAAGTGGACATTTGAGTTGTTTATAGCTTTTGCTGTTAAGACCAGTGTTGCTAAAAATATTGCACATACCAGCTCCTCATGTGTGCAAGAGGCTGTATACCTAGATATAGAATTGCATAGTGTATGCTAATATTCAGCTTGACAAGCTATTTCCCAGACTTTGCTATTGTCATCTTTCCTAATTTCTAAGACACAAGAACGGTGTGGTTGACTATAAAATTGAGTGTTGGGTTGAAGAATGGTCACAAATTCTTCCTATCACTGTGTGCATATCCTTTGCAATATGATTTTACCTCTAAAGTCTGTTACTCCTCCCCTTGACTCTGTATGTGGTTCTGTGGCTTGCTTTTGCCATGGGAACATTAGCAAGTGTGACACAAGCAAGAGGGTTGAAAAACACTTGCACATTGGGGCTGTCTTCTCTTACTGCTCTCTGGAGCCTTGAGCCTACCATGTGAAAAAAGCCCAGGCTAACTAACCTACTGGGACATATGTACCACATGGAGCAAAGATAAGGGATCCCAACTGTGAGCTGCCTAACTCGAGACCCAAGCTAGTCCAGACTAGAACTGCCCAACCTAACTTAGAGAATCATGAGAAATACTAAATGATTTTTTAAATCACTAAGTTTTGGGGCTGAGTTGTTACACAGCAGAACATAATGGATACAAATGGTATCTCATGATCTTGATTTATATTTCTTGATTGTCAGTGAGGTCAAGTAGATAACCTTCATTGTTGGCCATACATACTTAATCTGCTGTGAAATATCCCTTTGTTTATTTTGCTTCTTTGAGTTTTGTGGGGTTGTCTTTTAGTATTTTAAATTCTTTCTTTTTGGGGTTATTTGTCTTTTAGTATTTTAAATTCTATTTTTAGGGCTTACTAGACCTTTTCAGTTACATGTTTCTCTGATTTACTTTTCATTTAAGATATCTTGTGATGGATTTAAGTTTTAATTTCAATGCTGTCCAGTTTATCATTCTTTTCCTTTGTGGATAACTCTTTCATATACCTTAAGAAATCCTTCCCTACCCCAAGGCAGAAAGGTATTTATGTTTTCCTCTAAAAGTCTCCCTTTTTGACCTTTAAATCTTTAATCCATTTGGAATTAAATTTTGTGCATGGTTCAAAGTAGGGATCCAAATTTTCTTACATAACCTATTTGAATAGTCTTTCCTTTCCCCACTGATCTGTCTTGCCCTCTGTGTCAGACAGAGCATATACAAGAATCTTTTGAAGGCTGTCTTCTCTGTTTCTCTATCTCTATACCTAAATAATACATTCATTATTTATTCCTATTACATACAAAATACAAACAACGTACACACAGAAAGAGAGAGAGAGAGAGAGAGAGAGAGAAGAGAGAGAGATCTGGATATAAGAACTTTGGTCTACATATTTTCACATTGTTTGGCTTACCTTTTTGGTTTTCTTAGCAATGTGTTTCAAAGAGCAAAAGTTTTTAAACTTGACAGAGTTTAAGATTTTTTCAGTTTGTCAATTTTCAGCTTATAAATTTCTTCTTTTACAGTTAATGCTTTTTAAGTCATAAGAAACAATTGTCTACCCCAGTATTACAAACATTTCTTCCTGTTGCTTTTTTTTCCCTAGAAGATTTATATCTTTAGTTCTTATATTTAGATCTATGATGCATTTCAAATCAGTTGTTGCATTTGAGAGAGAAGGATCAATGTTCATTTTTTTTATTGAGAGGGCACCTCTCATATTTATTGATCAAATGGTTGTTGACAACAATAAAATTCAGTATAGGGGGGTCAATGCTCAATGTACAATCATTAATCCATCTCAAGCCTAATTCTCGTCAGTCTCCAATCTTCTGAAGCATAACGAACAAGTTCTTACATGGTGAACGAATTCTTACATAGTGAATAAATTCTTACATGGTGAACAGTACAAGGGCATTCATCACAGAAACTTTCGGTTTTGATCACGCAATATGACCTATAAACCATCAGGTCAAATATGAATATTCATTTGATTTTTGTACTTGATTTATATGTTGATCCCACATTTCTCCTATTATTATTATTATTTTTATTTTTAATAAAATGCTGAAGTGGTAGGTAGATGCAAGATAAAGGTAGAAAACATAGTTTAGTGCTGTAAGAAGGCAAATGTAGATGATCAGATGATCAGGTGTGTGCCTATGGACTAAGTATTAATCCAGGCTAGACAAGGGCAGCAAGACATCCACGGATGCAGAAGATTTCTCTCAAAGCAGGGGGGGTGAGGTTCTGAGCCTCACCTCTGTTGATCCCCAAATTCTCACCTGATGGCCCCCCTGCGACTGTGCCTGTCTTAGGTTGTTCCTCCCTTGAGGAATCTTACCCGTCTCTGGCTAACCAGTCATCTTCCGGGGCCATACAGGGAAATGTAAAGTTGGTAAGTGAGAGAGAAGCCATATTGTTTGCAAAGGTTAGCTTTTTACTTCTTTGCAGATTTATGCCCTGTGGCTTCTATGCCCAGCACTTGTCTCGAGGTATCTTTACCACCTGGAGGAATTATGATACTCGGTAAATTCGATATGAGGCACGAATTCTATTTAAGGTTTGTAATTAGGAAGGAAGAAGAAAAGCTATAGATGTAGCATATGAAGGAAACTTGGGAGGATTGATTATTTCTTTGACATATCTTCTTGTATAGTACCTTAAGTATGTATAGGTTTTAAACTACTAACTAATTTGCACACACATATTAACATAATAGGAATACGGTGACATAAACAAAGCAAATCTATAATTACCAGCCATCTCCAGTGAAGCCAAGAAAACCATTTAGGCACCCTAGGCATTTGTGAAAATTTATCTATGATATGATGGATATTTTCCAACTGTACTTGAACCATCAGACAAATTAAAGCAGCCCATTTCTGGGATCTGTTCACATCCCATATGTTCTTTTAACCATAGATAGTCTATAGTCATGAGATTTTGGGGTGCTACAACTTGCACCCCTCCCAACTCCTGGTTGAGTTCCAACAGTACAGATCCAGTCAAATTCGTTGTCTCACTGTATGCACATGCCAGCCTAGACATCTCCCTCCTCCTTCTTATGGCAAGTCCAGGAGATGGTGGGCTGGATGCAGCCACAACCGCAGCATCGTCCGGATCCCTGTGGAGGCTTTTTGATGATCATCCCCCGGCACGAGTCCTCCAGAGAGTGCTGATGCCGGAAGCTCCTCCTCATATCGTATCTTAGTTCATTTTCTGGGTATCCAAGCTAGGCCTTGATCTTCTGCGTAGAAACAAACAGACCCTTTGCCCACACTTTGACATGCCCTCTATACCACTGTGCAGAACTCATTGGAGGTCAGCACACAGTAACTTTTTTTTTTTTTTTTTTTAATTAAGAGAAAGGAATATTATCAGAAAAGAGTACCTCCATAGCTGATCATCTGACACCCTTTAAGTGATCAACATTAAGGATATTTAAAGCATGCGTTGATCTTTGATTTACCAATAGTTTTATCCTGTTAAGGAGTAATCCCCCTTTTCTTTCTTTCTTTTTTTTTTTTTTTTTTTTTAAATTTTTAATCTACACTTACCTGAAGAATACTATGTTTACTATGCTCTCCCCTATATCAGGTCCCCCCTAACAACCACATTACGGTTACTGTCCATCAGCTTAGCAAAATGTTGTAGAGTCACTACTTGTCCTCTCTGTGTTGTGCAGCCCACCCTCCCCTTTCTCCCTCCCCCCATGCATGCTAATCTTAATACCCCCCTTCTTCTTCCCCCCCCTTATCCCTCCCTGCCCACCCATCCTCCCCAGTTCCTTTCCCTTTGGTACCTGTTAGTCCATTTTTGGGTTCTGTAATTCTGCTGCTGTTTTGTTCCTTCAGTTTTTCCTTTGTTCCTATACTCCTCAGATGAGTGAAATCATTTGGTATTTCTCTTTCTCCGCTTGGCTTATTTCACTGAGCATAATACTCTCCAGCTCCATCCATGTTGCTGCAAATGGTTGGATTTTTCCACTTCTTATGGCTGAGTAGTATTCCATTGTGTATATGTACCACATCTTCTTTATCCATTCATCTACAGATGGACATTTAGGTTGCTTCCAATTCTTGGCTATTGTAAATAGTGCTGCGATAAACATAGGAGTGCATCTGTCTTTCTCAAACTTGATTGCTGCGTTCTTAGGGTAAATTCCTAGGAGTGGAATTCCTGGGTCAAATGGTAGGTCTGTTTTGAGCATTTTGATGCACCTCCATACTGCTTTCCACAATGGTTGAACTAATTTACATTCCCACCAGCAGTGTAGGAGGGTTCCCCTTTCTCCACAGCCTCGCCAACATTTGTTGTTGTTTGTCTTTTGGATGGCAGCTATCCTTACTGGTGTGAGGTGATACCTCATTGTAGTTTTAATTTG